TTTACGCTTGCAGAAGCCGAAAATTATGAGAAGAATAACGAGCACTTAACAAAGTGGCGTAGGATGCGCAGATGGGAAAAATATTTTAAGCTTTGACGTATGCCAGAGCTCCCTGACAATCTTACATTTAATAATTCAGAACTGACCGTCATTCGGTCATTTGGTTAAAACTTGCCAGTATCGTGCTTGAAACACAAACAACAAACTCGAGTGACATTTCTGGTAATAAATTATATTAGTAAGGTCAGCGCAAAGAAATGCCGTTTACGAATTAACACACAATTAGTGAGGCACAATGGGTGGAAGACCTTAAAGTCGATATCAGTTTGCCATTGTCGACCGCGTTAGGAAACATGTGCTTATATTTGAAGCGCATTGTTTAGTGTGCTTAAAACCGAAAAACAGCATAATTATGTAATTTCGCTCAAATCTGCTGCAATTCTATTAATATAACTATTTGAAAAATAATAAATATGAAAGGGTAAATTGAATTTACATTGTACATTCAATGAGGAGCGGCGGTAAACGGCCAGGTACATTGCTATGTGAATGGACATTTCGCGGTCTTAAAAAGTCTCATAATTAGAAACTTTTTTAAAACCTAATTATACTCGTGTCTTAGGTATAAAATATAAAGAAGACGTGATTGTCTATTGATTGACTAAAAGAAAGCATATTTTTGTTTGTGGTTTCTATAAACTATATTTGATTTTCGAAGACCACCGAAAATCAATGGGAGAAATGCATGTTACTTAAGTAGTCATTTTTTGCCGAGCACGCTTCTTACAGGAGATTGAAAAGAAGTGCATTTAAAAGCCAACATCCTGCCAAGTCCGAAATGTTATAAGAATATGTCTAAGGAGTATCAGTATTACAACCGCGACTAAGTAATCCTTCCTAATCGAAAACTCATTTCAAAATTTCAGCCAACATTTCATGAGATATGTCACACACTGTAATTTTTTTAGCTGGATTACATAGTTTCTGCGGCTACTTACCGAATATTTTTGACTTTACTTTTTCCTGAGATTTGAGTGCTATGGTGACGTTCAGCTCCCGTGTTCCGGTCTGACAACAACTTCTGAAGAGAGAATGTGCCGTAAGTGTTATTTCGACTTCTCCGACAAAATAAGACCGCACAAGGTAAATGCAGCAACACATTCAGAATTGAATGACGATGTAAATTTGCTGACCTGCGGGGCAGTTGGTAACCATCATTGTGTATCTGTATATCTGGCGGCCCTACGCGATCGCTGAAAAAAGCACTTGATTCGCTCAATGTTTCAGACTCATCCCGAAACACATCATCAGACACATCATCAAATACAGTGGTTGATACACATGGGGTTGCGGTATTTATGGGGTGCAATCACTAGGCAGCCGCATATGGAAAGAAATTAACGGCTCTCTCCGTCATCGCTGATTGTTGCACCTAGTGCTATGATTGTTTGACTGCCCGAAATCGACTCGATTTTCTCATACGTGTTAGGTGTTGTGGGTAGTAATTACTTGGTCATTCGGCTCACTGCTACTTGCGATGGAAACAGCGACTGCCTGGCCGGTTCCTGAATACTTCAGTATCCTTTCCTGAGTTTGTCTCAGCACTGAATGTGGAGGGAGCAGGTCCCTGCACTTGTTAATAGACTCGTTGATGCGGATTAGGATTAGTGTGCCAGGGAAGAAAGAGGCGAAAATGTCAGATGATCATCATTTTGGAGGAAGTCGAATTAGATCGCGATATCGCCAGGTTCGTTGATGATGCCCAGCTTTGGGACGTCGTCCAAACTGCCGGCAAACTTTAACCTGATAGATGAATGGTCGCTGGCCTGACGTTTGTCATCTATTGTGGCTAAGTGCAACATTCCGCTGGTCGGTGGAACGCGATCTCCGGATCGCGGGATTTACCACCTAAATGGCATACCATTATAGGAAATTCACGACCATAAAGACTTATGTTGTGAGTCGTGGAATCAAATAAACCGTCGTTGCACTCCCCAAGGGTTGCAAACTCCGTGATGTTAATTCTGCACTACGTCAAGGAAGCTCATTTTGCCTTCGATGAAGATCGTTTCACTAAAGTCTTTCAGACATTTGTTCGGCCATAGTTGGAGTTCGCTATTCAATCGTAGTAAGCCCGGACCGCTCATAACCTCAGCATCCTCAAAGAATTTCAAAGGAGTGAAAACCAAGCTCGTTTAAGGACAGCGTTCACTACCATACGAAGCACAGTTATCCAATCTCAGCCTCTTTTAACTGCGTTAGAAACTGTCAGCAAGCTACCTGATGCAAACATTCCGCATCATGCGAGTTCTGGACCGCTGTTTTTTTTTACCAAAATTCACACAATGAACCTCCTAGGTCATCCACTCAAACTACGTGTGGCTAGAACCAGGCTGGACAACCAGAAATTCTTCTCCAACAAAGTGGTTGAAGCTTGGAATGTTCTACCTGCAGATATCGTTCTGTCTAGATCTGTCAAAGCCTTTAATCTCAAGCTGGATCGGTATACAACTGAGCATCACAATGTCAGCCGACCTGTATCCTCTAAACACCCCCGACTACAAATGAATTACCGATACAGTGCTACTGCATAAATTTCAGTAACACTTGGTTATTCAATGTTATTGTTGATCCAAATTCACTACACGCAAATAGTGATATTTGCTTTGGATCCCCATCAGATAACTGTGATAGTACCAATTTTCCTATTGCACAAGTTTTTATAGACTGACTACTGTATGGCGTACTTACTAGTGCCAGTATTTCTAACACTTTGGATAATTCGTTTATTCGTACAGTTACGATGTTTCTACCTTCTAACTTTTCGATATACTTCCCTTTCGTGTAACACATATGCGGACCAAGAGTGAACTGAACTGCAAAAAATCGTATCGACACTCCTTTCGGTTGGAGGATAGTTCAACGTTCATGGTCAAACGACAGCTACTACTTGCGGCTCATTGTACATACATCGATTTGATCTTAAGAATCTTGATCAAACTACCAATTGAACAAGTTAGAGCAAACGATGGTGTACGCTGCTTCAAACGATTTATGCTTTCGCATGGAAATGCTAACGCAGTTCCATTGCATGCATGCTCGAAGACAGTTGGCAACGTGACGAAAAGGGGATCTAACACTGGACTTAAACAACGGCTTTGCGGTTGTTCGAAAACCAACATCAAAACCAGCTGAGTGCAACGGGGTTTTCTCCGCAAAATGAATATGCGCCTACCGATGACCCAATGCGGATCGAGTGAGGCTGGCCTTCTTTAATATATTTAACAGGAGCCAAATCTCAGAAATTAAACATTAACTTAAGATAATTAGTCTACGTTAAGACCTATGGGAGGAGACCGAAATCAGAGATGAATATCAGTCCTGAATTGAAAACAAGCATGTACAGCAGAATTTATTGGGGCCAACAAATTTCGTGACGGCTTTTCAACTGCAACCCGTCTCTGCATAACAAACGTAACGAATGAAAGCGCACGGCAGTATGAATTTGTACAGAATGGCAGTGCATAGGAGCAAGGTCAAAGTTCAAAATAATCAATAATCAGATAAGACGTCCACATTGGCATCAAAAAGGAAAAAGGGGAGACGAAATGTTAACAACAAATCACAGTCAAGGGAAAATAGAGGCGTGAGATTACCAAGGCAATTGCAGATTGATCACCTGATCTAACTGCTTGCACAGGTCTGGTTTCTCCCTCCGTATGTAGGCTGCTTCCAAATAACGCAAGGTTCGAGTTGTACGTGCTCGGACAAGTACTCGAAAGGATGCTTTAGGGTCGACAACATGACCGTTATCTAACAGGTGTTTCGTTATAGACGAACTAGGGTTCTATTTTCCTGTTTGAAAAGCCAATTAGGCAAATGCTCAGCGGCCCTGGTTGCACATTGCCTTTGCGTTCGCCCAATGTACTTGCATCCGCAAGTGCATGTGAATTCATACACACAATTGGGGGTGGCGTGCATTGGCAAGGCATCCTTTGTCCGGTTAATTGGAAGGCTTTTTGTGGAACTGATGAAGATAAGCTCTGCTGCGTTGTACGTTCTTTCTATAGTGCAACGCAAGCGTCGCTTGATTGTGTTTGAGACGTTGTCACCCTTAAAAGGTAGACATATTATAACGGGCTTCTTCGGAACTGACTGTTCCGTCAACTTTGGCCGTAAATGGTTGCTGTACTTCTGAATGAAGCGTGCAGGATAACCACGATTAAGTAAGGCTTCTTTGATACGGGAAGTTTCTGTATCTATGGTCTCCCTGGAGCAAATATTTCTCGCTCTTTAATAAAGAGTATGTACTAGATTACGTTTCCATTGTATCGGCGCAAAGCTTTTATAATGTAGGTATTGCCCTTTCCACGTAGTCTTGTGGAAAACGGAGCGTCTTATTGAACCATCATCCTCTCTAAACATGAGGACGTCCAGGAAGGGTAACTTGTTAGACTGCTCCATTTCCATCGTAAATTTTATTTTAGGATGCAGATTATTCATCAGGCAAAGTAGGTCGGAGGCGTCTTCCTCGCGAAATAACCGCCTTATATCATCAAACTGCCAACAGGCAGCGAGTAGTATGTGTAAAGGTTGCAGGAAAAAAATCTGGCTGCACAGGTACTAGCTAAAAGCCCATACAGATTTATTTCAAATTAGAAATTAATTTCTAAGAAAATCAAAAAAGCAACTATTTCTAAACTGGTGTATCTCCCACAACTGGCGTGCAATGTTGGGGGACCCACAGCTCTGCCAGACAATGGCCATATAACGATGAAACAGATGCCTTGGCTTTTGTCTAGTGCCCATGCGAGCAGCCTGGAAGCCTACAACCCCGATCTATGCTACTAGCCGCCTGTTGCACATTTAATGCATATAACGCTATTATCCCCCTGCGGCTGATGGACTTTGGTCCGGATATTTACCTCAAATTTTGATGTGCGCCCACAGGCCTTAACTCAGACTCAAGTTAATTGTTGATTTCTGAGGTAAGGCTCTTATCAAATGCAAGAATCAAGAAGGGTTCTTACCGCATGTGGTAAACGGGCAATTATTCTGTCCGGGTAGTACATGTTGATGGTCATTGGACAGCGGGACACGAGATCGGGGTTCATGGGCTGTAAACAAGGATTTGGATAAGAATGCGTCGTTACGGCCTTTAGCCAGATGTGACCCTCCCAGTTAGCCTTGTCTTTGGCGGCTATCTTCATCTGCTTAAATTACTAATCGTTGCTCGACTGTCTACGAGACTGCTCACCTAACCCTTAAGCCCAACTGCGGAAGCATGCTTCGTAATCGATTTGATAGACACATGGTCCTGCTTAGTTTACAACAAGCATTTAGGAGCCTGATAGTTATCGCTGTTTAGGAGACCATTGTTTGGTGCTATCAAGTGAAATGTCCACCAGAAAACAATCATGTGATTTCGGTCGGAGAAGATTGCTTCAGTTGTTTGGAATGTTAATTATCGTGCAGGACGATCGTAAGGCATTTTATTTCCGCCAATATGCCGGCTTTCGAGCGAGTCCAATCTCAGCTGCAGGCTTAAAAAGCACTCAGTGAGAAAAAGGCTTCCTCATCAGTGTGACATTTTCCCATTGATTTTCAATGCACTTATAAATTAAAAATAGATTCGCCACATACGGCCGAATAAATATTCCTTATTGTGCCCATTTATTACGAATTTCGTCTCTGTAAATTATATACTTAAAGAAATGGTGTTTTTTGGTTTCGAAAAACTTTTTTGATTCGGAAATAATTTTGAACATGGCTTACTGTTACACTTGCATTAAGATTTCCAAACCACAGGCTGTATGCTATTTGTGTGAAAAAAATCACGCAGTTACAGACACTGTTAGACAAACGTCATAAAAGGTTTACTAAATTTCGTAGTGGATGCAGATCCCTCTGAATTCTTTACAGGCAGCATTAATAAATGGACGCAGGCTGTGCCTTTCAAATAGACATTTCACGCTTCTAATATACCTCATAGTAAAAGAATATTTTAAACCAGAAAGTGACCTTTTCTTAGACATATATTTTGTATTTACACGCTGAATCAAGGACACATGATCCATTTAAAAAATATGCGTATCTCATATTGTCTAATGCGCTTTACGATGATGATATCCATATTCAGCCAAATTTACAACTTTTTCCAAAAGCAAATCAACATCGGTGTAAATTTAAATACACAAGGTCATTCTGTACCAATCTCACATCCTCTGAAAATAAATTGAAGTGGCGTCTGAATGCATCGTTTTTTATATCCTACATTATCGTATAACTGCAATACACAGCGTGTCTGTTTAAAATAAAAACGAAGTCAGCATTATATACTGTATAACCGCTAATGATACAGTAGGTGTGCTAACTCATGAAATGTCAACCAAAATTTCGAAATGCGTTCTCGTCCCGAAAAGATAAATTAAGTAGTGTTGTAAAACTAATCATGATGTAGCATAAATCTATAATGATCCAGTTACATAAGGGTGTCGGTTTCAAAAAAATGTATTTTTAGCTGCATGCAAGATCTATATTCTGCAAAAAATGACTACTCAAGTAGCATGCAATTTTCTCATTCATTTTCGATGCCCTTGAAAATTGAATTATATTTCATGGAAAACATGCATAAAAATATTCATTCTTTTACCAATTCGGTACTCCAAAGAAGAGTATAATTCGGTTGTAAAAGTTCGTACTTGTGAGATTTTTTAATACCGTTAAATGGCCGTTCATGAAACGTCATGTATCTGCATTTACGAATGTGGTTTGTAAAGTTAACAATATTGCTCAAATCCACTGTTTAATTCTATGAACCTTATATGGTCTCCTCTTAACACCGTAGAGAAATGCATGCAATATTTCATATTGACCCAGCTGTGAAAAACTCGGCGCCTCGGTGGGATTCGAACCCACGCAGTAAGGGGGCAGGCTTTAGTACAGCCAGCGCTCTAACCACCTGAGCTACGAGGCCCCGCCGGACGACTCGAGTTTTATCACACTTGGGTCAAGTTACCCGCCTAACCAATCCCACCGATGCGCCGAGTTTTTCACAGTTGGGTCAATATGAATTATTCAAAATCTGCCAAAATATCAATGAATTACGTGAGCCTAGTAGTCATCTGGTGGATTCTAGGTGAATTACGTAGGAAATCCTGCTTGGGCAGTCAACTTACTGTATCAGATTTGGTGGATTCCAGACGTTGCAGTTGGTCGGGCGGGTAACTTGACCCAAGTGTGATAAAACTCGCGTCGTCCGGCGGGGCCTCGTAGCTCAGGTGGTTAGAGCGCTGACTGTACTAAAGCCTGCCCCCTTACTGCGTGGGTTCGAATCCCACCGAGGCGCCGAGTTTTTCACAGATGGGTCAATATGAATTATTCAAAATCTGCCAAAATATCAATGCATGCAATATTGTTAACTTTTTTGCAGAGTATAGATCTTGCATGCAGCCGAAAATAAGTTCTTTCGAAAGCCGACACCCTGGGGTAATTGAATCATTATAGATTTATGCTGCATTATGTTTAGTTTTACAACACTACTTAATTTATATTTTAGAGACGAGAACCCATTTCGAAATTTTGGTTGACATTTTGGTTGAGTTAACACATCTGCCGTACTTCAGTGAGTTATATGACGCCACTAGTCCGCACAGCTGTGTGCTTCGGACCTTAACTAAAAGGTCTGATTCCCCTCCAAAATGAATGGTAATTTTCTATTAATAATATGGGCATCGGCTAAACGGCCATCAATTTCATGAGCAGACTGAATAAGACTGAAAATTAGTGCACATTGGAAGCACTGAGGCTCACATGGCAATAACATGCACCGATTGATCGTGATTGCTTGTAGTGATCAGTATGAGATCATTTTTAGTCTGGCGTCCGGTACAAACACATCGCATGCGACAAGATAGCCATAAATGAAACTGTCAACTGTAAGGCTGACCTAAACGGCCAGACCTTGGCAGCCCTAGCCCACCGCCAGAGTTTTGACCTCAAACGCACACAGAGGGTCAGTTCATTCGCAGCTGTTCTGATCCGCAATGCGTTCTTAGTTTTGCAATTTTGTCAATACGTGGCGACTGCGGAGGGGTCAGCTTGTGACTTATCTAGTGATGAAATATATGTAGCCTTGAACGCTATTTTTTCGGTCAAATAGATCAGCTTATGGTAGATTGGCAGTTTGCTTGCGGGTCACACACAGGAACGTGTCTGTGCCAGCGTGTCTATTCGTGGGAACAGTCCTCGTTGCGTATGGCTGGACAAAGGATGCCTCTGGTCATGCCTGAGTTAGCGTCATACCGGTAGGTAGATGTGTTACCTCTTGAAGTGCTGGTCGAAATTCTGAAATATGTTTTCGATTCAGGACGATTGCCTAAATAGACTTCTTAATTAATTATTGTACAGCATGATCCTACAATACTTTAGCCAGGCCAGCATGCCGTCCTTTAAATAAACTTCTTTTCGGCCGTTTGCGAAAACTGCGTTCTGAAAAAATAGCTACTTATTTAATATTAATTCTTACCATCGATTTTATAGCCCTGATGAATTCAAATATATTATATAGAAAAGTCCCCAAAAGTATTCGTTCTCTTACTCACTCGCGTATTCTCCAGATTTCCTAACCGGGATGTGAGAATATGTAGTTTCGAAATAATTTCTAAATACGAGATTTTTTAGGATCGCGGGAAGTTCATTCATGAAACTTTCCACCGGCATGCTAATTTATGCCACTCAAAAAGTTTACGGTCGGGTCAACAGCCATTCCACAATTTTGTGAGTCCTGTATTACGCCTTCCTAACAGCAGAGATAAGTCTGTCGTATTCCTTTGGCGAAATGTACAAATCGTGCAGTTCAAAAACCTCGAGTTCAAGTGTAGCGACTGGTGAACAAAAAGGTATTTTAAAATTAAAGGGGATTTTAAAAATCGAAATATTTGCACTTTCTAGTAGAAAATGTGAACAAGACGCAGCATACTACCAAATGAGTACATGCATATGTTTCCTATACGGTATACTAGGACTTATAAGAACATAAGATGTCAATTGGAAAATTTTATGCTATTTAGTAGTCATTTTTTAAAGAAGAGCGTGTTTACGGGCGGCCGAAAGGAAGTTTATTCAAATGCCGACATCCTGTTCAGGGACCACACTGCATAGAAGTGCATTTTGCAGTCCTACGTAAGAAATCTTTTCAAATTGAAAGCATATTTGCGAATTTGGACCACCACTTTTCGGGGTAGCACATCTACCATAAGTTTAGTTGCCGCGGTCGTGGACGAAAAGATAGACACCGGAAAATTGAGCAGGGCAGCAGCGCTTACACAGGGCATTGTTGACAGGCTGCCTGACAATATCAAAATAAGAAAACAGTTGATACTGTTAGCTTTTTTCTCTTTATGGTATGCTGATGGCGCGATTGCCATTCATAGTCATATAGACTCTAATCGCGTAATCACTGAACGTAGACGTTCGAAATCTTTAAACACCAGCGCAACTGAAGTGTCCAGCATCAAAAAAGTCTGCCTGAATGAAGTCTTGCAGAATGTGCGGCAGAATCCAGTCGAATAATGGGACAGCTAGGCGTCTGATGCTGACCGTGTAATGTTAGCTTATGATCAATGAAATCGCGACCTGAATTCGACATCGACAGTCAGCAAACCATTATAGTACTTCGGTGCCACGACGGCAACCATCACTCGCTGGGGGATAACTATGCCACTCCGGATATGTGAACAGAATTATTAAGATGACAACATCTTTCTAGAAGGCATGGCGACTTTTATAAGAAACTATTCGATTAGCTGGCCTTCATATGCCACTTAGTAAAACAACATCTATGCGTTACTAATTCCGTTTATCCCATAAATATCAAATGTTCTGGAACGTTCTCTAAACGAAAAAATCGAGTTACCACTAAAAAGACTGTATTATGTGTTAGAGGTATTTACAGCTACATAATAAGAGCGCTCAATTCAAAAACTTATGATATAACAAAACGCAATAAATGACGTTCCGTGTCTGTAGCTAATCCTAACAGCCGGAGGAAAGTTGGCGACTTCTTTGTCCCGCGTTTCCGTGTTGAACGAATGCTGATGTTCCAACATATTAGCGTTTTTCTAAAGCATTCGAAATGTATCTACTCAATGACAACCGAGCGAACGTGACCTGCATGTCTTCATTACACATCCAGTTGAGAAAGGACAGATCGCTGATGGCCAGTGCGATGCAACAGCCCTCAAGACGATACATTTTTTCAATCTTACAACCAGAAGATTGAAAATTAGGCTTATTTGCACATTATTTAGAATGAGGGATGCCCGAAGATAGCGCAGATGGAGATAACGGACAGGCCGTTGCCGTAGAGTTAAAAGTGGAATCGGCTGACTAAACGGTAGACAGTTTATGAAATGCAGGCCCATAAAGGCCAAAGACGACAATCGACCTGCGGATAAGGTGGCTTTAAGACTGCGATTTCCTGACAAACATTCTTCTGCATCCACGAGACGGAGTGGGTGACGCAAGAAATCAAAACAAGCTTTCGCGGAAGCTTATCGTCGGTTATGTTCGTAGTACGGTATGTATACAGCACATCTTTCGATCAGCATCACTACCAGCTAAAATCACGGCCTGGTTTCAAGTAAGGCCGATAGCAATCAGTCGAATAGTGCTACAAAGGTAAGTACTATTAGTTGCCTATCGTATGAACACGAACTTCATACCGACCACCCTCAAATCCCGGTTATCTGCAAAGTTCCTATAAACTTTACTTAACAAACAAGTACATTTCTATTTCAGTGCCTCTCACTGAAGCGGGAAGCATTTGCCGTACAACGAGGTGCCTAGAAAAGAGACTACGTGAACATACCGGCCTGGCTAGGCAGATGTGAAAGGAAATAGATTTCGAATTCTATTTTCGCACATCTTTTCGATACGAATCACCGAGTCGATGCCAAAGAACACTTTCAGGTTGTCTACCGGACACCAGCAAGCTTCTCCAGAGGCCTACTTCAACGGGTGCCAGCTACAGCCGAGGCAGTGGCCATACGGCTAGCCAATCCAGTGCTATGTTGTCAGAAGACGTTGACACAGGCGCTGTGTCTTCCGTGACCAACGCCGACCCCAGATGATGATTGCACGTCGCTCCAACCTTCTGATAGCAGTATCCGACTAACACACATCACTCACAGCCTATGTCACCCCTCCCCCTCGACCCCTTGACCCAATGACCATAACACGCCGACGACGCTATAACACGCCTCGGCATGCGGGCGGCGTTGAACGATGGGTGTTACTAACCCCTGAATCACTTATTAACCCCGTGAACTTCGCATTAATGCTTTGGGACGTTTTAGGTTTCAGTGTTTAGGACTTCTTGATGGTTCTTCCGGCTACTTTACGTTGCATACAAACGGGTGAAATAATTGAACTGGATGTGTGTTCATCGTTTGACTAGCAAAAGTCTCAACCCTAAATTCCGCCGATAATCTACTCTCTTAGTTAGCAATGAATTCAGAGATGTGAAGATGACTATGTTGTTGAAATTTCAGTGTCGAAATTTAGCAAGCATATATACATCTTGCTTTCTTCTATGTATACAGTTCAGGCGGTAATGCAGCTGACGCTTGTAATATTAACTTCCTTTTAGACAGAAAAAGGGGATCAAACCCGAAACGCCCAATTGACATGTAATGTTGCAGCAATGTAACGAGGATCACTTTACGGAAGAGTTAATAAACGGTTTAGAGAGGATGGATCATAGAGTACTGAAACTTCGATGATACCTGTTTCGCCGCCGTCAGTTCCTAAAGTTCCTTCAATTACCGTAAAGCAGTTCCCTATTTCAAACACGTGCTGATGGTCTCTTAGTGCATGCTGTCTTGCCTTGGATCGTCGACTGAAATTGATAGTGCCTATCTCACTTTCAGACGCCACTATTGCCAAAAGGGTGGCAAACACTTTATCGCGTACATGGCACACATTCGTATGAATGCATTTAAATAGCTTTGAGACAATTTAAAGCCAGCACACCTGGCGGTCAGTGAAAACCACATGAATCTGGTGATCCTCCTTCGCACTGGCTTTTATATCGGAACGGGTAAAGACCATTATAGTAAATAAATGCAACTGCTCGATTCACAAATTCATGGTGTATTTGAAACATTCGCCTTTCCCAGAAAAAAACAGAGATCTTAAAAATATAAGCTCTGCTGCCTGTCTACGTTCTCTTGTGTGATGATCAATTTAAAAGCCTGCTTTTTGTATTAAGGTCTTTTTATTTTTGAATCCAACATACAAAATCTTACAAAATATGCACGATAAACATGCGTATAAAGTAGCCTGCTCATGCAGTGTCAGCTATACGCCGCAGGATAGCCTCGGTCCCTTAGCAAACATGCTCTCCAAATTAAATTCTAGAATGCGATTAAACCATTTCTCATTGTTGCTCATCTTCTTGGCTGTCAGCGATTTTACCACAACTTCTTGCTCGAGCAGATTTTCGATCCTGTCAGTATTTTCAGGGCAAACATTATATTTCCCTGAAACTTCGAATAGGCTTCCAGAAAAGGAAACTTCTTTGTTCTACAACGGAAGAAATAGGTCGCGTTAGAGCTCATTAAAATGGGCATTCCGTTTGGCTTTAGTATCAGCAGAAATGACATATATTGTTTTGGGGCGCAAAAACCATTAGCCGTATAGTGAATCTTTTGTGAATTCGCACTGAATAGCGTGCTGATGGTCTATTCCAGTTTAAAGCCTTTATTTAAAAGGCATACAAGCACTATTTTATAAAAAAACACTTCATGTACGTCTTCTTACGATTCGCGGTATCGCCATTCGTTCGGTATTTCTGAGAATCAGAAGGTGATTTTTTAAAATAGACCAACAGCGCCATGTCAAACAGCATACTAAGAAGGACTGTTTTCATCTTGTGAATAAAGACGGGAGGAATAATAATTACTTTCTCCAAAAATAATGTTTTTGCATGCATTGTGTGACAGTTGAGTGCACAACTGTGCCGAAAGATTAATTGGCCCTTCATTGGTTGCATTCCTTTTTTGCGTTCATACATGTTTTTCACAAATTGCCTTATTAAAGGACAATCATGCTCGTATCAGCTATAATACATCAAAAACGTCCTCGAGGTCTCAATCGCCTCCTCGAAGGCAAACATTAAGTGTCACCTGGTGAAACCCAAGGACCCACGGTCATGACAAAAAGCATTTGGAAACGTTTAGCGAATCCGGCGCACTTAAAGGCAAAACAAATACGCTGGAGAAACTGGAAGACTACTCCGCACGCAAATAGGCGACAGCAGTGCGGAGAAGTAATGCAAACTCTCAAGTCTTGGCCCATTCGATGATACCGGGTCGCACATTAAAGTTCAGCGAGACTGCGATTCTCACGAGAGGAATACTTGCGTGAGCCGTAAATTACCTTAGACATGGTACACGGGACTTCAGTCTATCAGAAAGTGTAATAACATCCCCATCCCGATATCTAGTGCTGAGAGTTAGTCGGGTCAAATTTTATTAGCCACTCGGAGAGTGCGCAGGTCGGTGAGCCAGATGACCGAGCAATCATCACGCCGACATCCAAAAAGGTTAATGAGATTTCACCAATTTGTATGCCAGTTTTTAAACCATTAGCGCACCAGCTGGCAACGATTTTCGATGAAGGGGAGAGCGGTTAATTATCATAGGTATGCAGTGGCATAGCGACTGCATCCTATAAATAATGCAACTTCCCTTGCACAAATCATCGGTTTCTGCCACTGTCTCTGATGGTGGGTTCGATTCTATATCCGAAACGTCAGGCGAATAGAGCTCTTGTTCCAGCGGTCGCATCTATATTTTGTCAGCTATAATACCACAATTCGAGTTTTTTTTAAAGAAACAAGACCCACGAGTCATTGTTGAGTTTTCTGCGCCAACTTTGTCAACGCGCAGTGACGATCGAATTGAATTGTGCAACACGTCCATGTCAAATCTCAGAGTACAGTGTTGAAAAAAGAGAAACAGGATGACAAGACAGTTTAGCAAGATGAACTGTGTCTACTCTTACCAGTTGAAGCACAGCCTTTTTAAAGTAGACATTGCATAACCAGGAGCTATTTTCTACGGTTATGGAGCATGTAACTTCAAAAGTCGCCTTTGGAGAGATCCTCACGACATCAGTCGCCTCATTTTCGGAAGATATTTGAGCCTCTTTGAGGTAGTTCGCGACTGAATGGCTTAGCATCCCACCACTTATGGAAATGACGTACTCTGCGGAATAAAGATTAAGAACCGTCTTTGCTGAATTTGAAACATTAGTGGGTCTTGCCTACCAGAGCATAAAGGCTGCCAAATAGATAATTATGCAAGAGCAGACTTTTATTGATCGTACGTTTAAGGATCAATGCAAAGACTGTCTCTAACCTGGAATGTATTCTTTGGCATTGCTTCCGATTTGATCTGAAAAAAGCATTAAAAAAGACAATAATTATTTAGTGTATTGGATGGATTCCTTATGTGCATACGTCTCCATATCGCAGATACATTAGTCAGAATCGATGAACGTCATTTGAGATTTAGTTGTTAAGCCGACTAATCTGTAAAGGTTGGCTGCCATGTGTCATATGAATGGGATAGGTCCGTCACCCCTAAGCAGACCAGTGTTCAGAACTGATTGCGCTTTAATAAGTTTGAGTAGCGGCATAAAGCAAAAGACTGGAAGTTATGAAGAACGCAAAATATTTTTAAAGGGAAATTAAAAAGTAACTTTACTTTTCCAAAATATGGTACGTTCTTGAAAAGCTGCCGCAGTACGACAAACATATCGCGCCATTGCTGAGTTCTGTTTCCTCCATGCAGTCAGAGTGAAAACGTAAATTTCTCCATAATCGTTGACATCTACATAGCAAGACGATCGAGATTTTAGGAAATAAATATTGGAAGAATCTCTCCTTGTTTCTCTAATAAGATTGTTCTTAATTGTAATGAAAGCAGTTTTTAACTCGCTTAAGAGATTTTACCTCGTCAGATAAAGTCGTAGCCTTACTCACGAAAACAACAGTTTCGCCCCTAGAGACGTTATGGAAGGGCTTTCCATTGCCAATCTAGCATTCTCTTACCAGATGGTTCATTCCTAACACTGAAAATACGCTATAATGTGAGCTCTTAGCAAATAGAGGCATGCAATTTCATATTTGTGATGTTAAACCTCGGTTAAATTAACTTAGTCATGTGATGTTGTCAGTGAGGCGTACTTGATTTCAATGTTCTCAAACTAAGCGAAACATGTGTAATTTAAGGCAAAACAATCGTTTTATTCAGATCTGGTCAAATCTTACAGCTGCTGACCAATATATTCCCCGTTATTGTAACCTCTAGAAGACTACATTGTGAAAATGCCAAATTTGACACTGACTTAAATACAAGCTGAACCAGTCTGCCTAGCGCACATCTAGTGTACAACAAGGCAGAATAGATACGGCGAAACTGGAACTCAGTTTCAGAAGTTGAGCGAAATGCTTTACAATCCTTAGTTGCTCAGCGGCCATGTCTGACTGAACAGCATCTCGCAGACCCGAATTGCCAAAAGAAAATCAGTCCACATGGTTGTCCGCGAATCTAATATAAGGAAAGTCTTTCAATTTTTAGGGAACCAGAATACGCAAATAATCCAGCAACAGTACTGAGGAACCCCTGCTACGTTCCTATGAAAAGCAGGTTCAAAGAAAATTATGCATTCCGAAATAATGCGATCTTGTGAATTAAAAATCACTTGTTAATGAAAATATTTTATGCCACAGTCCCGTAGGTTCGCTAACTCCCAGATTTTTATGGACTGCTGCCAGTTATATTCTAAGACGTGGGACCACCTAGACACGGCCTTGTTGCCCGCGCTGAGGTATTCTCTCACCTTGAGACGATCAGAAAAATCGAGGTCTACTGAATAAGTCCAAAATGTCATCAATCACGCAAGGGTAATTTACTAGCGCATTCATGGGCAAGTTATTATATTTATATTTTACCGTGTATCTGAAGCATTATTAGAGCATTGACAACTGCGAGAGCTACTGTGCTAAAGCACCAAGAACGAATGTGTGTTGTTTAATTGACAATTTTGCGGGCGGGGCGACGGTGTGACTATAGAATTTTGATTGGTGCCTATCCTGCCAAATATCCCTAAACCGAGACTTGTTTAAAAAGTTTATATGTAATACGTTTAACAGCAGCTGCAAAGACGCATATATATATGATGATTTTGCTGCAGATATGAACACCGCAGATGGCGAAACCCGGCTAAAAGGCGCATAAAACGCATCAGACATTGCATCGACCGCTGCGTATAAGAAGAAGAACAGGGTGACTTTTTAAGCCTTCTTTTATATAGGCGAGTCGCTGACTTCCTCCAAAGATCAACCCATTCGATAATTAATTAAGAAGGATGTTTTGTGCACTTTTCGATTCTTGATTTCTTAACTGACTGCCCAGTTGGACTAGCAGAATCTGTTTCCGTGAGTCTACCGTCAACGTGATTCAGTTTCTTTGAAGCCTTTACATTGAAAACGAGTTTGCAAAAAGCGCTTTCTATAAATATTCTTATTCCAGACACGTTAATTTTCTGGAAATAGCCGTGCCAAAGAGACAAGTCAGTGGCCGTTTCCACCTCAGGGGGTAGTAATTTTCAAACGTGATCAAACCACGATGACTATGCATAACTGGACGGACATCTGTCGCCTATGTTGGTGTTCTTAAGCCCTATGAGGGTTTTGCCAGTTACTGGCTGTCGTATTTGCCTTTCCTGTGCGCTTCACGTTAAACTAAATCAACGACTATACTAAACTATGATAATACACCGAATGCACGAACGCAGCCATATAAACGCACGCTAATTTGCTGATAATAGTAAAAAGTAGTATGCCATGACGGTCAATAGCGGGACGTCTTGTGAAAGGTGATTATGCGGTGGATCAAACGTCATAATTTAGTTTCCTAATTCTAGCGAAGACTGGATGACTCAAGTGTTATTCATAAGTCTCGTCTGTATGAACGGGTAGCCCTCTTTTTACAGTCATGGAGTTAGTCAGAGGGTGAGATATTGTCGCGCCATACCATCTCCTAACTACACACATTCCAGACTCATGTCTCTTAATCCGTAGGTAGAATTACGATTGACGAGTTTCGCCGTAATCAAAATGTCCTCGAATACGTTACCTCTCCTCCCATCATCAGTGAAAGTGTGGCCGTTCGAGTCTCTTTGCCCTCCGGCTTTGTCACGCTGCCTCCCTATCCGCCTCACACTCCATGTCCAGCCACTGCTGGGACGCACGAGGCTTGTCGCTAGCCTCGCGAGTGCTCGAAGTCAATCAACGCTATTCCTCTTCTGATTGGCTGGCGGACGCTGGGACAACGAAAGGCGCTGGGTCTGAGGTCCTCGACGGCGGACCCAGACAAGTCAAACTTGCTTGAAGAGCGCGCTTGCGGCGACTGCATGCAGAGCTTTTCTACACGCATTTCCTCAGCAGTAAAAGCAGTCCAGGTTCACGTCCTATTGCCTGACTTCTGATCTGGGAATCTTAGTCTTGTCGACCATCCCACTAACGACAAAAGCATCAGATACGGGTAATACATGCACAAAAAGTTGCAGTAATTGGGGACGCCTTTGTGAGGCCACCGCTTTAGCACCTAAATGAACGCCCCCCCCCCTTTCTATTGGTGCGATATCTCCTTGGTGGACAGCATTCGAGTCTTTGAGTCTTGTCTTTTGTAGGGCCTGGTGTAGTTGTGAACAGAGCAATTACCCCAGTAGACGCGAATAGCCGAAAATGTAGTAGCGGTGAGGAAAAATTACCCCAGCTGCCAAGTCGCAGATCACTTTGTGGGATTTGGCTACGTACGCAAGTTAGTCGACGCCACAAAACGTGAAGCGTAAACTGCTTGACTTAGGGTTCACTGGCAACCAGTCTATTAACAAGTACAGCGACTTGCTCCCAACATATTCAGTTAAGAGACTAACACTGGGTAGGACAATTAGGTCTCTGGGAGCGCGCAGCCAAGCGTAGTTTCTAACCCCAGTAGCAGTGAACCGAATAGGCGAGTAATTAGTACTTAAACACCCAACATGTTGGACGAAATCGAGGCGATTTTCGGCCATCAAACAGTTATCGTATTGGGATCAAAAAGTCTGCGATGAAGGAGAGAGCCGTTAATTGCGCTCCATAGCGCCTACGTCCCATAAATACTGCAACCCCATACGCATTGGTCACCGGGATCTGTTAATGGGTTCGAGGATGAATGCAAACGCTAGGCCAAAAAAGTTCTTCTTCCAGCGATCGCGTAGAACCGGTAGTTGCATAGACCAGTAATGAAGGTTCAGAGCTCGTGAGCAGGTCAGAAAATCTACGAAGTCGTTTAATTCTGCGTGTTTCGCCACGTTTAACCTGCACAGCTTTAATTTTGCCCAAGTCAATGAAATGCCACTTACGGCACATTCCCTCTTCAGAAGTGGTTGTGAGGCCGGAGCACAGAAGCTGGTCGTCAGCATAGCACTCAAATCTCTAGAAAAAATAAAGCCCAGAATATAGGATGTGAAAATTAACCACACAAAATATGCGGTCCACACAGTTGGGCGATCTTAGGAAGCATTTTTTTGCTTACTTTAGTTTCAATTAAACAGTTTGTAGAACGCGCAGAGAATGAATTTGCCTTCGTAAAATAAGTGTTTTCTTTGCCCTTCCATAATTTTTAAAAAAATCACTTTTGCAAAAAGGCAACTATTTGCAAGAACCTACAAAGTATATTGTTTTTCATTTTTTGGCCTACAGAGCGATGAACTTCAAGCTTAAATTTATGTTTGGTATCCCGTGTCTACAATGAGTAGCCGATATCAATTTTAGGGTTCCCCACCCAATATGGAACACTAATTCTGTGTTAATCCTTGGATTTAATCTCTCTACGTTGACCGTAAAAATATAATTATTGACTGAAAATTTCGTTTTAGTTTGTGTTCTGTGTTTTAAACGTGGTACTGGCAAATTGTAACCAATTGACCGAATAAATATCAGTTCTAGGTTACCGAACAGCGAAATATCAGGTGATTCCAACAAAGGCTACAGTCCGTAATATTTTTCATATCTGTGCGTTGGTGTTAAATTATTATACGCTTTTCATGCTTTTTGTAATTCTCGATTACTATAAGGTATAAACCAGGTGTAAGTATAGGAAACCAGAAACGCCTTTTTCTTCGGAAATTCGAATTTTCCAGTAGTCTTATAACTTTCTAGATTCTCGCCAACGGCTCTTTTTACTATAATTAACGGTTTTAGAGACTGACATTATGTCATTTCAAAGTCTACTAACGTCATTTTGGGATGCTAATATAGAGTACTCCACAAACTAGTAACTCAACGCTGTAGTCTGCAAGCCAGAGCAATATGCCATGTATGGCCATAAATCATAACGGCAAGGAAATATTTTGTTTTTATGAATACCGAACACATCCAGCCAGTCATTTAACTTCATTGTATCCACAACGTTACCCTTTAGCCTACTCGAAAAAAGAAAGGGTTTTGTTACCCGGTAGTCGTGTGGACCCCAGTGGTTGACGATCCATTCCAGTTCCACTTCGTTGGACGACGCAGTTAGGGTTTCAGTTTGGCCAACAAACCTGTCCGAACCTATAAATTTCGGATATATTTTTATTTAAAATTGTTTTTGAAAAATCAGCACTCCAGTTTCCACTTGCGTGAAAAGCCGTTAAACAGAATATATTTCAATGGTTTTCCGGCAGATAACACCTGTACGAATTTGAAGTACCTGGCCAAAAGATCCTGTAAGTAACTTGGTCAACATTTTCATTTTCTTTATACAAGCATGTATAAAGAACCATATTTTCCGGTCCACGCTTTGCTGTGTATCTCAGCAGAGAATGGGCTCCCTCGTTCCCTAAAACTGATGTCGGCGCAAAATTAGACGTACTGAGGTAGGAACATAGCATTCAATATGGCTCCCTTAGGTTTTGAAAAAAGTTCATAAAGTCATTTAACATAGAGTAGCTTATGGTTTCGAGTTCGTAAATGGCTTACCGCATGGCGACGACAGTCCACATATGGGCTCTTCGTTAGAGTAGCATGTTATCTTAAATGCAGAATATTTTCGTAAATAGGTTTGACGACAATACTGAGGCAGAAAATAAATTCAAAGTAATCGTAACGGACGATTTAAGTATATCAGCAAAGTCAATATTATTTAATAGAACACTTTCGTCGAGCTGGCTAGTCAGGAAACTAACATTGATCATTCCCATTAGGTTTACCGGGTATCATACTTATTTAAACTTTTAAACAAAACTCTACTGCCGTTGATTTTGAGTTGGAAATAATTAAATTAAAATATAACAGGGGGCCTGGGCAAGAAGAATTAAATCCTTTGTGAAAATTATGAACCGAACTGTTTCGGGTTTCTCTCATCAAACGATTCCAAACCCGAGTGACGCATGAAGTTTGGTTTTCAATACATACTTACATTGCTCGCATTGATTGCTGATGTTTTTCCCAAGAATCTCCACGCGAGTTCCACTTCGGACTCGTTTGTGCAGAGATTTGAAAAACTGCTGTTGTCAAAGGTTAACATGCCTGAAGGACAGATGTGCAAAATATGTTGCTGCTATATCGAAACATATGTCATTCCAGAGGCTAATTTCGGGTTTCTCGACAGTTTTACAATTACCTGACTGAGCAGATGAAATGTGCTGCAGATTCAGTTGATATTTGTCGTTAGGCATGTCTAGATCTCTGAAGCCGATAAGAATTTCAGTAATATTTCTTATTTCCGAAATGAACATCGTGATTCGGGATACATTCGCAACTGAAAACGCAAAAGACAAATCGGTTATGTACGAACGTCACTGAATCAGCGAACAAACTGAGGATTCATTCGACATAAAAAACCCTGCTCCGGCATGCAGAGATCTTAATAGAGAAAATGTATGCTTATCGGGGATGTAATTGTTCAACGGTAATTCGGGGAATATAAATTTTGATTGACATTCCGTGTCTGTAAAATTTAATATGTGCAAACCTTGCGCTTATGTTTGAAAAAGAGCGTTTGCGTTTCGTTGCAAAATGTCCATCAGAAGAACATATTTATGACGCAGTAGCTTTCATTATTCCTCCAAATCATGAAAACTGCAAGCACTGAGAATTAAAATACCTTGTTCAACTTTACACCTAAAGGTTTCATCGAGTGACAGTGATCTGCATAGTCCGTTGTTTACATCGACGATGAAGTACTTTTCTTGTAGAATCACATACTGAAAATAATGCAACTTCCAGTTATAACTTTATCAGTTTGTGATGTAGGTATTAAACTAATAGCATATATTCTCATGGAGATATTTTGCATTTATTGTACTTACCTCTGGGGACCATGGAATAAGTGTCATATATATAAGTGGTCCGGTCTTTTGGGTGTAGAATGGAAGTCGACTGCCGCACACGTCTCGGTCTATCAAGAGGCATATATGTCAAGCATACCTGATGAGTAAAATTGAAATTGGAAACGATTTTAAAAAATACATGTTTTAATTCTTCCCGTCCGCCAAGGCAACGGCATGCCTATCAAGCATTTAACTAGGTCGTACATGAGAAAGTTCTTCTTGCTAATGACATGGGATATGATTCGTCTCAGTGTGTGTAGTCATCTTCGCTGATACACTGAATACCTTTTTGTTTTTGCAAGTTAAATACGTTAGAACAAAATGGATGCGGACTGAATTTTAACTAATTTTTGCATCAAGAGATAAAGCAAAGTAAAGCTGGTACATATCCCTGTAAAGAACGAAATTCCGGAAGTTTCTTACTCACAGCTTTATATTAACTGCGTATTACTGGTGGTATTTGTCCTTTCTAAGCGTACGCTGATAGAATAATTAAACACCTTAGATGGGGAACCGATTATAAATGTCAACTAGGTAATACAACTGTGTTTATGATTTACATTCGGCTAGAGGTAATTTAGATATGTGTGCAAATGTGTAAATCCCCTGACATTGGTTAGTTGTGCACTATTATGTTAGATCCTTACCATGTACATAAACAATTTCGTGAGTATCGTTGACTTTGGCGGTCAGTAGTTCCATAAAGGAAACCTCGGGAAGTTTAATATTCAGAACGCATGCACCATTGCCTAAAAGATGAAGAAAAAAAGAACCTTATTTGAGACATTCCAAATGCATTTCAACTTAGCTGCTCTTTAGAAACTGCGGCTAGCGCCTTTTGCGCAACAATTCGAAAATACTGTAACACAGTTCAGCAGATTTAAACTTACAGCACTCCACTGGGCAGGGAAAGTGAAATTCTACCGAGGAGTTCAAGTGACAATTTCCGCCGCTAGCTAGGAATTTCTCCTCATCGATTGTAAAGGCAATTTCCTATTAAGAATAAATTTCAGTTTTATAATAATGGTCAATTTCCATAAAATAAATTGATATGATAGAATAAGAAAGGCAGAACACATAGTAGAAAAAAATGCTTACTGTGTCTTCTGTGAGCACAGGGACTGGGATCGTGTACGGCCCATTAGATATCGGAATGTTGTGGACTTCGAACGAGTCTTCCGCAGAACTTTCAGCTGAAGAAAAGTACAAGCACACAAAAATAGATTGGTTTACACAATCCTAATATGGAGGCGTGTAGTGGGACTCGAATTTCGGATTCGAACATAGCACTTAACTGCACATAAAGCATTTTGAGTGCGGTGTAATGATTTATTAGTTTTGCTCCTCCGTTCCCTAAATGGCTTATGGCAAAATACTAGCGGGTTTAGACAAGGCGTTGAAAAATCCAGAGGGACCAATGCCGGGCAGAGGAATAAGGGCGGAAAAAGCCCCTTAGGACGGAAATTCAGTGTGCTTGAATGATGGCAAATATGGTAATGTTGCTAAACAGAAGCAAATTCGTGCGCCACTGAATATTTAAACCCGTTCACAGCAAAATCGTAAAAGTATGTGTAGGAAATGTGTTACTGCTCTTAAATGCATTTGACTAGATATGCTATATAAAAAGACAACAGTCAACACCGAAATACAGAGACGGCAATGGGTATGACTATAGCAATTTTAATTTGGAACCATACTAAAAATCAGACAGTTCAGCTTTCATCCAACACATTCGGCTGATGATCCACACAATGCAAGAAAAAAAGAAACATGGAAAAATTCATGTTTTAGCAGAGCAAGTAGGCTGAGCACTCACCGTTTATTATCAAAAAGGACAGAACGAGAGACAACGACCTTAAGAGCATGCTTCGCCTCCGACAATTGCTTGTTAGGTTGGAGTTTGCTGTTGTACATGCAAACACAGATATTTAAAGATTATTTGGATGACCTTTATGCCTACGACCCTGACCGGTCATGGAATTTTTCGCCCACGGATCTTTTAGGAAAATTTACTAATTATACCGAGATGATTGCGTATGGGGTCAGTGTGTCTGGGCAAATTTGTCGCAAACCAATTGAGGCAGCTTGCCTCACTAATACACTGAATAGTTTTCTTGAGCACACGTGGGATTTCGCAAATGTGGTCTAGACATTCTTGTAACAAAATGCTGCAGAACATACGAGACTCGCATTCATATTTTTACTTTGAATTGTAGAGAAACTGCTTGCATATGTACTCCGTTGCACAATTACGGTAGCGATAACCCGCAGGAAGGGATAATTTAAACAAACTTACTAGCGGACAAGCGGCCTGAGGTGTAGAAAAACAAAAATAGGATGATGCCATTATTTCAAACGCCAAACTCTGCAGACTTATTAAGAACTTGGACCTAAAAAGAACGAGTCTTTTCAAGCTGTAATCACTACAGTCCCCTTAATGTGGGATAACTGATGAAATATCAACTGAAATTCCGAAATGCGTTTGCGTTACGAAAAGATTAATTAAGTAGGTTTGTAAAACTAATCAGTCTGCAGTAAATTCTATAATTATTCAGTTACCTCAAGATGCCGGCTTTCGAATGAACTTCCTGCCGACTGCATGCCAAAATCATACTCTTTAAATAATGACTACTAAAGTAGCATGCATTTTTATCTTTGATTTTCAATGCCCCTAAAAGTCTACTTATAGCTCATGGAACACATGCATAAAAATATTTACTCTTTTGCTCATTCGGTAGAAAATTACGTCTTCTTTCAATATTATATTCGAAGGAGGGGGATAATTCAGTTTTAAAAAGGTTTCTAATTGTGGGACTTTTAAATACCGTGCAAAGGCCATTCATAAAACGTAATGTCTCTGCATTTATCAATGTGGCTTGTAAAGTTAACAATATGGATCAAATTCAATGCTAAATTTTATGAACCGCATATGATCTCCTCTTCACACCGTAGAGAAATGTGTGTTTTTGCGTACGCGAAAAATACATAGCTTGCAGTTTCGAAACCCGGAATGCAAGTATGAAGGCAGAGCGGGTTCAAAATGATTCGGGAATTTTAAAAGCTTTTAAAAACCGAATAATACCCTTCCTCCGAGTATGAAATTAAAAGAAGACAAAATTGTTTTACGAATGAGCGGAAAAATGAATATTTTTATTTAAGTTTTCCAGGAACTATAACTGGATTTTTTGGGGCATTGAAAATTAAATGGAAAATGCATCCTATTTACGTAGTCATATTTTACAGAGTATTGTTTCGGCATGCAACCGGTAGGAAGTTCATTTGAAAGCCGAATTCCTGAGGTAACGGAATTATTATAGAATTATACCGCAGACTGATTAGTTTCATAAACCTACTTAATTAATCTTTTCGAAACGAAAACGCATTTCGGAATTTCGGTTGACATTTCATGAGTTAACCCACCTACGTATTCTGTTGTTTCTCCACTTATGGTAGAACAAGTAGGTATTTACCATGTCGATTTAATTAATTGGCACGCGTAATACTTGCCATGCGACTGAGAATTCGTGAAAGCAAAAATGACTGCAAATCAAATAAAAGTAAATGCCAGTTGTTAGGCTAATAGCATTGTCTTTCATTTCAGGAGTTGCTTGAATAAATGCAATCGGCTTGAAGAAGGGTAAATTCGCTTTAAGGGATTGCATGCACAGTGCTTTGGAGAAACCAGCACTCAGGTTCAAGTATGACATCCAAGACGGACATGGGAAATGCAGTGTAAACTAGCGAGAAGCAAGACATTGAATTTGCCCTGTACTTTTCGAGCAGAGAGAGGTCAGACATGTGCCAGTGATCATGCCTTTAGGATCTTATGAAATTTACCTTTCCCCTCTGCTGACCGACGCGTCTAGAGGCAAAGGCACGATGGTGTAGTCATCCAGACGGCTGACCTCAAACAGCTACGCCAAAATTCACATTAGGGATAAACGCCTGTAAATTATTGTTAGTTTTAGTGAGGGACAGCACTGGGTTAGCCGACAATCCTGAAGAATTGCTATAGGCTGGTCAAACAAATTTCCAAGACTGGGGCTACAGTCCACCTCAAACCGTCCTCATTCTTGGCAAGAAAGTCTGCGGAGGGGAGCATTCAGCCTTGCATGTTCAGCCAAGTGAGAAGTCGAAGGGTGCTGTCCATGAATGGAACCGAGTCAGTTGAGATTGAAAGGGCTTTAGTGGTTGAGGACTTGCCATTCCGAGCAGAATCGACAATAAAAAAGATAGCCTCTTCGTGACCACACCTGAGCGGTATAATGTTCGACGAGTTCACTGATTACGAAGTTGGCAAAGTCATTGGGAAAGGTATTGCGGAAGCTCATTGAGTACTTGACATACGTCTGGGTGGCAAAAGGAAACCTTTCGCCGTGAAAACATTGTTGGTTTGGATGCTGCTGGTATCTTCACGTGGCAGGCGAAACCAGAACGCTCTCTGTCACTGCATTGTAAATCAAGAGAATGATGTGACGCACAACCTTAAGAAGCTGTACGACTCGGAGATTTCGGACACTTCAACAACGACTGGAGGATAAACGGGCACTGGCTATTGTGCGATCCTCCGTTACACTCATAAAAGGGCATTACCAACTGTCTCTCCGTTGGCGAAACGGTGCGCCGAATTTACAGACAATTTTCAGTTGGCGCGTTAACAACTAATCTATCTCAAGAGCAAGTTGGGTCGAGAGCCCGAATTACTTCGGAAATATGAGCAGACATTTCGTTCGCACTTGAAGACGGGATACGTCGAGCGAGTTGACGGCAACAAAACGCTTCGAGTCACGAGACACTGGTACTCACCACACCACCTCGTTGTCAATCACCCGAAAAAACACAAAAAAAATCGTGTTGTATTTGACTGTGCTGCCAAATGTCAGAGCCTGTCTCTGAATGACAATCTATACCAAGGACCTGACCTAAACGCTAAATTAGTGTGTTGTTTGCTTTCCGACTTGAGTGTATTGCAGTGGCAGGGGATATGAAGGAAATGTTCCTGCAAGTGAAAGTGGACACGATTGATCGACCTTCCCTTAAATTTTTGTGGTGGAAAATGACGAGCTCAGTTGAGTTTCAGTGGACATCTCACTCATTCGGATTGACTTCTTCGCCCTTTTGTGCCACCTTTGCGTTACAAAAAACTGTTGAAGATTTCGTTTCCTCTTACTCCTTGTCAAGTTGCCGAGCGATTCACCAGAGTATATACGTTGATGATTGTCTGGTCTCCTTATGCGATGTCGATTCTACCAAACGTTTTGTGGACGAAATTTGTAAACTCCTCTCTCAAGGCGGCTTTCGTGTGCGGAACTGGGCGTCTTATGACCGACGTATACTCTCGGTCGTTAATGCGACTGAACGTTCTTCTGGTATGCGAGATATTGCCGTCAACCCCCTACCTACTGAACGAACGTTAGGCCTGCTGTGGGAGACGCATTCCGATATTCTGATGATAGGGTCCAATATGCCCACAAAACCGTTCACTCGTAGGGGCAGTTTGTCTTGTTTGTCCTCACTTTATGATCCTCTGGGCTTCGTTTTATCTTGGCTGTTAGTAGGGAAGTGCTTACTGCAATCCTTATGCAAAAAACGGACTGAATTGGGATGAACAACCATCTGGCATCGAGAGCTCTTGTTGGGAAAACTGGATATCTAATTTACGGAACCTGAAGACTTTTCAGCTAACCCGATGTCTAAAGCCCAAAGATATCAGCGATCCGATGCGAGTCCAACAGCACGTGTTTTGCGATGCCTAGGAATTAGCATACAGTACAGTAGCATATGCTCGCTTTATTAACGACACAGGAAATCTACATTGGTCGCTCTTTTATTCGAAAGCACGTGTTGCACCCCTCATAGCCGTCTCTAAACCGCGGTACTGAAGTCAGGTGATGTTGTGTTAGGTTCTGGGTAGCGCATATCTAGTGAGAATTGGCCTTTGGGAGTAATAGATACGTACGGAAAGAGTCGCAATGGTCTCGTTAGGACGTTATATATTAGAACGGCGGGTGGTCTCCTAAAAAGGGACGTTTGAAACATTTGTCTACTTTAGGATCGGAGCAGCCGTATACCTCCAAACCCGTAGGTTGGTCTCAAGAGCCGGACGTGGAGAATTGGTGGGTGGTGTTGTATCCAGCTAGTGAACGTCTGGAATTCTCCACGTCCTCTTCGGAAGTGCTTCCACCTTTGGCCCCTGTTGACATTCCCCTTTCCCCCTTTTGTAACCCTTTTTCGAGAATCATCAGCGTTCTTTTAATTAGCTTGTTTTTGTATTCTGGTCTTAAGCTGGGAATTCGAATTGCTCGAACAGTAACAAAGGATTTCTTTGTCTAGGGTATCCATTGTTGAGGTTTGTGCGTTTTGTATTATTAGCTTATTCTATCAATAGTACCGTATGTACACCAAAATCTGTCTTGGCTTATACACGAGAATCAATTGCCCAAGAATTCTACAGTACTCATATGAGTGAGAATTTCTGAAAACAAAAATGACTACGAATCAAGTAGGAGTAAAACTCAATTGTTAGGCTGGTAGCATTTTCTTTCATCATGCTGGTTACTTGAATAAAAGGAATCGCCGCGGAGTTTGGTTTTGCAGCCCTACTTGATTGATACCACAAGGTTGCCTTCCTAAAACAATTTTATTTATTATACCTAACTTGGCCACTCGCTAATTTAGGAAAAGGAAGAGAACGTATGCAGAGCTCGAAGCACGCACAGGGAAGCGCTTGTGGACCGACGCTTGGTTTAACCGGAGGTGGTGTGTTCACACTGTCCGCGACAGAGCCACTCCCTGGATTAAGAGGAGATGGGAAGGGCAGAATCACAATGGCGAAGCCACGAAAGGGACTCGAATGTCAAGTCGGAATGAACGGACTCTATGGTGAAAAAAACGGGGTTCCACTCCGTCCGAACAATACCATTAACAAGCCTTCTTGGCCACTCGTTGGAGTAAGATTACAAAACGGGCAGAAGCGCTGCCGAAACACACCCACGGAAACGCGTGTGAACTGATACCTGATGTAACCGTGGATGGCGTTTAAGCACTCACCTCTAGGCACGGGCACTCGCTGGAATGGAAAGGTAAGGAAGGTGCAAACATTTTGTTATATCCAGCTGGTCAGCGCTTGGAATTCTCCACGCCCTCCTCACAAGTGCTTCTACATTTGGCTTCTGTTGATTTTCCCCTTCCCGCTTTTTGTAACTCTCCTTCGAACGTGATCGGCGTTCCTTTAATTACCTAGTTTTTGTATTCTGGCCTTGAGCTGGGAATTCGATTTGCTCGAACAGTAACAAAGGAAGTCTTTGTCCAGGGTATCCATTGTTGAAGTTTGTTTGTTTTTTATTGTTACCTTGGTCTATACTAACGTATATACAACGAAATCTGTTTTGGCTTATACGCGTGACTCAATTTACCAAGAATTCTCTACCCGTAACATATGTAGAGTCAGGGTAATCGCATTTACTAGTGTCTTTAGGATTCTAACCATATAGCATCAGTCAAGTGGGGCTGCAGGACCAAATCTCGCTGGAATCGATTTAATGGAAGGTAAATTCGCTTAGAAAGATTGCGTCTGGAGTTCTGTAGAGAAACCAACTATCATTTTCAAGTATGGTATCCATGACTGCCTTTGGGAATGAAGAGCAAGTTAGCGTACCCCGTAGGTTTCGGCAGACGGAGGTCAGACAGAGGCCAGTGATCATTCATTCAGAACCTTATGAAATTTTCGTGTCGCCTGTGATGATAGACACGTCTACAGGCAAACGCATGATGGCGCAGTGATCCAGACGTTTGACCGCATAAACAACAACGCCTAAATTGACAAGTGGGCCTAAACACACACGACTGTGTTCGATGCGGTGGATTTAGTGAGGGACGGTCACTTCAAGCACCGGGGTTAGCCGACCATCCTGAAGAATTGTGCTACCCTGGAAATACGGATTTCCAGGACTTCAGCATGAATCCGCGTTAACGCCTCCTCATCCTTGGCATGAAATTCCGTATCGGGTAACATTTGGCCCTGCTTGTTCAACCGCGTCCTTGTCACGTTCTGATGTATGAATTATCTCAACGGAAATAAAGGCTTATGCTCGGATGGAAGTAGGGGTTAATTGGGGATGATTAAAGGGGACCAGGGCTCTACTAAAAACCTCCATTGCCTGTCTGTACCACGCCACAGAATGTTCGGCATCCAGGAGTCGTACAGTGTGCAATGATTGGGTCTGTTGAATGACCAGCTAAGATACACCAGACAGACTTCCAAATGGTACGTATGAAGTCGCGCCATATCTGTCCTTTGTCTCCACTGAGGCAGATGAAATGATACTTGCGGCAAGGGCGCAGGCATCTTCTTCTTCTCAGATGAAATTTTGTCGTTGCTATGCCTCGAAGTTGGCGAAGTGAACGAAAGCCAGGAAGTGTAACGCAGAATAGGTGACATCAGCACAAGTGAGAGGACAGTAAATGACGTGACCCCTTACAGGACATCGCGTCTCAGAAATATCTTATCGAGATCGTTTGTTATGTTGACATTCCATCTTCCCCAGGAGACATCCACCCTTATAATGATCATCAATAGTCAATGTCCTCCCGCGAACCACGTGGCACGCATAGACACCCACACTCGACCACACCAAGCGAATCCCCCTAATCCATCAAGAAACATGTCATAACAACTCGCGAACTGTTTTTCAGGTGTCTAAGACGACGTACAGGTTATTATCCGAACAGCGTCAAGAGTCCTTATCCTTCCTTGCAAAACGGAAATCGACTCTGACCGATGGCTCTGTAAGACGCATCTGAGTGCTACACTTCAGGTTGCGTTCACTCTGACCTTTGTTACTGCGGACACAATTGTAAAGCTCTTATCAACGTGCTCCTTTATCAGCAAAAAACAGGAATGCTGACGTGCGCAAAGGCCATCGCGGCGGCTTCTGTCATGGTGAGACCGCAATGACTACGACCAGTTCCGAACAGGATGAGTCAGCCTCGAAGATGATTGGCCGATTTGGCCAACTGACATTGGCCGAGAACCAGGCTGCAATTGGTACGCATGTAAAGGTAGTCGCGCGAGGCTCAGCACTGCAACATGCGCCCGCCTTTGGGCCGCTAAAAGTGCTCCCATCTCAGACTGAGGTTCGGGTTACAGATTCGGACGGAGGAAAAATAGTTAATTTGGATGAATGAAGAACGTACCAACGGCAGTACTATCGGCAGCGTGGGCGGCTGCAGCTGGCAGGAGGGAGCCAGGTTGATAGGCCGGCTGGAGAAAGCAGGTGGCTGAGTTTAACGTCGATGGCAAATGTGTATGCCGTGTCGGAAGTTGCCGGTTTGAGTGGAGAGATACCGCTACCAGTAGAGGTAAGATATCGGATAATGGGATGGATGCCGAATGTCGACATTGATAGAGGGACGGCTCTGTTGGATTGGAACGGAACCATGACCATGACTCGATAGGCTGAGATTGTTTGATGACCTACAACTTGATTCACGACAGGATACCGATAACTAAATCCTCCATGGCGTGCTTCCAGCAAGTTACGCAGGAAACTCTTGGTGAAGACGAGGACGGAAATTCGGGATGATTGAGCTCAGCCGTCTTTAGCAGTTGCGCGTTCGTATCAAGTCGGATTCATCAACATCAGTGAGGTCCTAGCTACAGCGATCACCAGTTCCAGTTCCAAACAGGAAGAGCGGAAGTAGGACACCAGTTGGGAGGTGGTTGCATTCTGCACAAAACTATCAGAGAAGAGGTTGGTTGGAGTGGCAGTTAGACGAGGTCACGTCCGACGTCGCGTGGGCGCCGTCCACGAATGTGAGGCAGTGGAGCATTCGTACAATGCCTTCAGCCAGGTCATGTCTGAGTCAGTCTCGAAGATGATTGGCCAATTTGTACAGGTGGCATTGGCCGAGAGCCAGGTTCTAATTGGCACGCAAGTACAAGTCTTGCAAAATGCGCCTAGAGTTACGCCACTGCAAGACAACTGATGGCACCAACAGAGACGAGAGGAAAAGCAATGTTTTGGGCATGAGAGTACCTTTAATCTAAGAGGATACAAAACAACTGGCCGAAACTGGTGGAAACCTAGTCAACCTTTTAAAATGTTACCGTCAATAAGGCAAACCTGGCATTTCGTCCATACAGAGAGTTTTATAATGAATTGGCGGACAGTGAAGTAGCGGAGGACAAAACTTGCTGCAAGTACGAGGGGTCGGAAATGTTCGCGAGCAGTAAGACCTGTGGACAGAATGCGTCGGTATGGAGGCGCTGAAGAAAGATTTTGTAGTCTGTTCCATCAGTGAGATGGGAGAAAAAATTCCTTCATGCTTGTGATCTAAACGGGAGGCCCCACTGTAATTTGAAAATCTGTGAATTTTTAGAATTTATCTCTAAAACGCCAAAATGTCCCACGAAGATGTGCCAAAGCCATCTGGAGTTTGAGCAGTTCAATTACCACCGAGAAGTTTGCTCCAGAATGTCAGCTGTCGGTAGGAAAGGGAAACTGAATGGTACGCCGGAAACCCCATCATACATCGACGAAGCCAGATTTGCAGGGCAACGTGGGTTCAATCTTTGCTGTCTTTTAGGTGGATGTTATATCCCCAATTAGTATGACGCCAGTTCTGTGCGGAATAGAAGACAGACAGGATAGGAGAGAACAGCTTTACTGCGTCAGTCACCCTGTGTACATCAACTCTTAATCCTTCCGTCCGTGGCTTCGTATTTAAGGGTTCAGCCTTCGTCTGGCTTGCGTGTTCCTACTGGTCCAGTCCTGAGCGCCCGCATGGGCAGGCGCTCGCGTATGACTCAGCGGCGTGCAAAGGTCTGGCTCGCATGCGGGCCTCCTAGGCGAGGCTGTCCGGCGAGTTTGCGGTTCTTTGTCAGGCGTGACCCCCGGACGACTGGAACGGTGCGTCGTGTTCTGAGCCGTCCTAACAGTGGATATGCACCGGCGAAGGAACCGATGGCGACCCAGTGCAGAATTAGCGAAAACACAGCTCATACCTTGATGGTCTATGGGTCTTTGACTTGTCAAGCTACCGATGTTAGGTATTTCTACTTGCGCAAGCGCGATGCGGCGACGTTCATCCTATAATTGAACGGGAAGTAGAAACACGGCTCAGCAATACATTCTGACGAATAGTCAGCATATAATTGGCTTAGGCAGGCTGGGTACGATTAGAAATGCGGCAATCATCAAGAGAATTACGTTGATCCGAATGCAAGTGCCCACATCCGGTAAATCGAGCGGACCCAATTGGGCATCAAGATTGAGATTTTGAAGAAATATCATGGAGTTGCGCAGCATTTACTCCAGGGGTAATTGGATGAACGCTACCTTCGCGTTTTGAAAGGAGATGAAGATCACATCGTTGCAATCCAACACAATATTACAGAAGTAGTTGTTGCTTGCCTGTTGTTGTTTAATTCGGATTTAATTTTCACAATATAGAGGGCATATTTTGAATCTGATTCCGATTTTTGACCAGTGCCTGATGGAGTAGGAATAAGGCCACAATAGCACCCTGAAATGTGCCTGCCAGTGTGAGAAATTGATTGTCTTCGCGTTGGGCATTTAATTGACCGGCCCGTGAGTTACGTTGTACATCGCAAGACACGAGGAGACAAAGGTAGGTCAAGGCGGGCAACCAACGCCGGCCGACAAGCAGTCGGATGAAGACATTTAGTGAGGGCAGACGTGACTCACGCAAGGTGCCATTACAGTGCGGGGGAGGGGGGGGGGGGTTGACGCGTCTGTCGCGGCCGGTTGATGCGCAGACTGGTAGCGTCTTTTCAGGGGAACAGGCGTAACTCCGCCTCATGACAAGTTGTCATCCCGGTGGAGGGGGGGGGGAGATCTGGTCGTGTGCCAGCGACATGTATGTGGTTAGGCGCTGTTATCGCGGCCGCCGACCGCGGAACGTGGTGCGCGCAGGCGACGCCTATATACCCATGAACCCGGTTCACGCAGCGACTGGTCGGCAGGGCCACAGCTGACATCTTCGGCACTCCGAAACTGTCCTCGGATCAGCGACTACACTTCTCTGCCGGGAGAGTGCATCCTGCCTGAGTGTCTACATGAGGGAGTAGGCCACTCTGGTTTGTGTAGGCACCAAAATAGACAAAAAGTCGCATCCCACCCTGGAATTTGATGTCAGGCCATGGAATGGCGCATGGGAGAAGGAGGAGATAGCGACGTCAGCATCTAGGACGTCCCCCGCCTCCAAGGTGCATCGACGCATTTCTGAGCAATAACAAATTCGGCGTACGCCGGAAGTCTCATGATGCTCTGAAAGTCGTGCCTTTGAAATCGAGCATTC